TGCCTACTTAAACTCCACTTATAACACACTCTTCACTATAACTGTACACTTTAACACTTATAACCAACACTTAACTCTCCTGGTCACTTAAACAACACTTAAGACACACTCATCGCTATAACACTCCAGCCACTTTAACGCCACCTACCGCACCCTGACCACTTTAATACCACTTAACACATCCTTGTCACTTTAACACTTACAACACGCACTTCACTCCACTATGTCGTATCATAATTTATCGCCGTCAACTAATTTCATAATATTATACAGCAGTTCAACATTTTTCTGAACAGTGTGTAAATAATGTTCAGCTGTTGTCACTATTTACACATTTACACTCTAAATTTACAGATACGGCTATTTACTTTTACACTATTTATTTACAAGTTTTATTTTACAGAAGTCCTCTCTCTCTCTCTCTCTCTCTCTCTCTCTCTCTCTCTCTCCGTCAACCTTCCTCATCTTTCACCCTCAATACCTTCCCTCACTATCTTTCACCGTCGTTCTCCCTCCTTTACTTTCTCTAACTTACCTCCCTCTCTGCTTCACCATCCCCTTTCCCTCCCTCACCATCCTCCTTCACCCTCACCTTGCCTCTCCCTCCTTCACCCTCACCTTGCCTCTCCCTCCTTCACCCTCACCTTGCCTCTCCCTCCTTCACCCTCACCTTGCCTCTCCCTCCTTCACCCTCCCTACATCTGCGGTAACGATAACCCAGCAGGTAGCAGACAGGGGTTACTTGACCATACTTGTTGTTGCCGCTGCTATAGCCCCTCTCCCTCCCTCTCTTCCCTCTCCTCTCCCTCTCTCAATCATCAATCATCGTCAGGTAGGCCCACATCAACCGCTAATCAGCTCAATTTCAACCATGTATCATTAATTCGCTAAGTACACGTTTAGATGTCGCTAAGTTGCAACTGATGTCGACAGAGACGCGCTGGATAAATAATGACCGTACGGCTTGGGTGTGTCATTAACGTACCACGGTCATGATGTCGTGCCGTCTAGTCGTAGTTTTATTAATGTTGATAATTATCGTCTATTTTTCTTTTTATGTTATCGTATTTTGTTGCAATAATCACTTGTTTTAGTATAATTATTTCGGTGTGTCGTTTGTGATGTACGATAATTTGGTGTTTGTTTTCGTGTGATATTTGATGTAATATAGAGGATAATTATGGTTATTATCGTTAATTATTATTATTGTTATTTTCATTGATAGCGCTAGTGTTATTGTGCTGCCATCATTACCACCACAATTATTATTATTATTATTAAAATTTATTCCCGGGATTTATTATCATTTGGTTCATCTCATTTCCATTAACACATTAACAAGTCAATGTACTTAAGGGATTAAGCCATCGTATTCAAGAGGGTAAGTCAATGTACTCAAAGAGGTTATGTTATCGTACTCAAGTTAAGTTATCGTACACAAAAGGTTAGGGAATCGTACTCGAGATTAAGCTATCGTACTCAAGAGGTTAAGTTAATGTACTCAAGGGGTTAAGTACACAAAGGGTTAAGACATTAAAAAAATTTATTCGAGTTTTATATATTTTTTGAAGCGACGGAAAAAAAATTATACATAAAAATATATTAAAAACAACGTTAAAATTTGTATACAAAAATAAAACTGGAAGAATATTAATCAAAGAGCATTAAAACACATAACTAAAAACACAGACATTACACAGCATTACAAACAACACATTTCTCATAAAACAGCATAAAACAACATTAAAAACAACATACTACAACTAATAAAACAGTCAAAACAACATTAAAAACAACATAATATGTACACAGTGCAGCATGTTCAAATAAAAAGAAAAGAAAAAAAAATCGAATTTAAAAGAGCCATTTGTTGAAACCTCGCGAATTAGCTATGGAATATACGTGTGTTGGCGTATGGCCAGTGTGTATGATTGGCCAGTGTGTATGATGGCCAGTGTGTGATGGCCAGTGTGTATTATGGCCAGTGTGTATGATGGCCAGTGTGTGATGGGTGGTGTGTATGATGGCCAGTGTATGGTGGGCAGTGTGTATGGTGGGTAGTGTGTATGGTGGGCGGTGTGTATGGTGGGCGGTGTGTATGGTGGGCGGTGTGTATGGTGGGCGGTGTATGATGGGCGGTGTGTATGGTTGGGTGAGAGAGTTGACACAAGCATGAGATAAATATAGACAAAGCGAGATAAATAGAGAGAGGAGAGGGATAAACAGAGATGGCGGAGACATAAAGGCCCAGGATGAGTAAATTAAGAGAGGCTAGGTAACACGGAAGGTCGACCAACATATGAGTTATTCCTTCCGCCATAAATATTATTTCCCGCCAAAACTCATTCTTTTTAAAACACTTTCGCTTCTCCCTTCAGGCTATTGGCGAGGGGCTTCTAAGAGCTCTTATTTCTCTATCTATTTATCTAACTTTACATTACCGTAATACATAAATACATACTGGAGTAATGTATATATATTTATGTCTGATTTTGCGTATGGCGTCACCCAGGTTTCACATTTAGCCAGCAAATTAATCACAGGTGAGCATTGTGTTAGGTGACAGTGTGACAGGTGTTGTGTTATGTGACAGTGTGTGACAGGTGTTGTGTTGCGTGACAGGTGTTGTGTTATGTGACAGTGTGTGACAGGTCTTGTGTTATGTGACAGTGTGTGACAGGTGTTGCTAAATTACCTTTCTCTTGCAACTTTTTTAATTACCTATTTTATTTATTACCAATTTCATAACACTATTGATCACACCGCTACGACCTGAACTCAAGACACGAGATCTTCTGAAAACTCGTAAACAAGATCTCCAAATGATGTAAATGAACCAATGAAAACACTAAATGATGTAAATGAACCAATGAGAACACTGGAACAAGATCTCGTGACAGGTACAGCAGGTGAGGAACTGTACCATCTTTACATAACCTTACAGGACTTGAAACAATGAACGTCAATACTGGCCCGCCGCCTAGCCATAAATAAAATTAATAACATAACTGGAACGTCTTTGGCGAGCTTAAATGTCATCGACGATAAACTATCCCATAATATTGGAACATCTTTCGTAAGTTTTCTGAAATGTTATCAACAAAATGTCATCCATTACTGAAACATGTTACTCGGGGTCATCCACAACGTCTCAACTATCATCATCATCCATTATTGAAACATCTCACATGACCTTCTAAAAACTATAAACAAAACATCAACATTATTGGAACATTTCACAACATCTTCTAAAAACTATAAACAAAACATCAACATTACTGGAACAGCTCACATCATCTTCTAAAAACTATAAACAAAACGTCAACATTATTGGAACATTTCACATCATCTTCTAAAAACTATAAACAAAACGTCAACATTATTGGAACATCTCACATGATCTTCTGAAACGCCATCAACAAAAAGTGACCAATTTCCAAAACAAACTCACCTGTTACTAACCCGACCTAAACAACCATCCATCAACCACCCCCCCCCGCCCTCCACTCCCGGCTAGAATGATTGACGCCTCTATCCATCAAGCCTAACAGATGATTGGAGCCCCCCTCGAATCACCCAATCCTAATTAACCAGCGGTATGATGTAAGACTGGAATCACTAGGCAGGCTAGACGGAGGCCGGGAGGAAGGATAGTGGTGGAGTGGGGTAAGGAACGGGGGAGGGATAGAGGGAGGGTAGTAGTGGAGTGGGGAAAGGGGGGGGATGAGGGAGGGAGGTAGGAAGGGTAGTTGTGGAGTGGAGGAAGGGAGGGAAAAGGAAGGATGACAGAGAGAATGAGGGAGGATTGGGAAGGGAGAGTAAAGGATGGAAGAGGGATGAAGGAATGGAGGGAGGGTAGGAATAGAGGAAGGGTATAGGGATGGATAAGGGTGGGGGAGAAATAGGTGAAATAGAAAAGAATAGGAGAGGCGAGTGAAAAAGGGAGGAAGGAAGGAAGGAGGGAGGGAAAGGGATGGACGAGGAGAAAGGGAAGGAGGGAGGAGGAGGAAGGAGGAGGAGGGAGGGGGAGGAGGAGGGAGGAGGGGTAAGCCCAGGAGGGGAAGGAGGAAGGAGGTGGTGTTAAGGGGCAAATTATGACTGACCAAGTATTATTAAAAGACTTCCTTAATTACAGCCCACAGCGCTCTGTGGGCAGGGAGGAGGGAGGGAGCAGGCAGGAGGGAGAGGGGAGCAGGAGAGGAGGAAGGGAAGGAGGAGCCAGGAGAGGAAGGGAGAATCAGGGAAAGGGAGAGGGAAGCGAGGTGAGAGTGGTGGCGAATAATATGTAAACGAGGTGAGAGAGAGAGAGAGAGAGAGAGAGAGATAATACCAGGAAGGAAACAGTATAATAATTAGTAAAGGAAGAGAGAGGAATAAAAAAAAAACGAAGAAGGTTTAAAATGAAAACAAGACAAAATAATGATAAAAATATAAACAAAATAAACCTCAAAAGTTCTAACAATTATTATTGAGTTATTTCTACCCATATAACACCTGAATTATCAAAATATTTACTGAAGTTTCGTCTACCATAACTAAGCAAATTTATCATAATGAAATCTGGGGTTAAAATAGTGAGGAATAGGTAAAAAATTATGGACATATTTATAGTTTTCAGGAGAGTTAGACCATCGGTGGCCAAGAGTGTATCGTCAACACAAAGAAACGTCAGGTAAACAAAGGAAGATTCCCCCCCCCCCCTCCAGTGACTTATGTGGGAAGAAAGTGCCCGGTGTCTAGCTCCAGTGTTAATCATTACACTGACGGCTGGTGGCTGCGTCAGTCATGTGTTATTTAACGACTGTAATCCTTTTGTTATAGGATGAGTATGGGGTGCACAATAAACTAGCTGCTGTACGTGGTAAAATAAAAAAAATAATGATTGGTTACATTTATTAATATTTATTGTTCTGGACTCACAGTGTCACGCGGGTCATGTTTGTCAGTTACTTCAGCTTCTGTCCTGATTATGTTTTCTCTCTACGAGGGAGTTACATTACCGGCAGGTACTGCGGCCACAGCTTTGACGGTGTGTTGTGATGACTCGTGTTGTGATGACTCGTGTTGTTTGTGTTGTGTCTCGTCCATATGAAAATGAAAGTAGGTCCCAAAGACGTGGCCGCCTGTTAGAGGAGGTGTGGATGAAACACACTGCACACTAAGCCTCGGTACACAAGGAAGCAGCGTGACCGACACTGCACTCGACCACCTTCACTTGTAAAGTTAGTTACCCATTTACAGTTGGGTGGAGTGTAAGTGTCCCGGATCGACCCACCGACCCACTGTCCTTCAACACTGCTGACGCGGCCCCGTCCTCTACCTCTACGTGCACTATCTCTGCATCACTACACTGCTGACCTTGAATTAATACAACAGAAATGCCGGTAACTACACTTTAAGTTTCCATACTTATTCAATCTGTCTCACTTTAGAAAGCAGGTTTTCCGGCATCTTTGTGGTGTAGATTAACACAGTATAACCCTTTTCTTCTCTATTGTGGGTCGTTTGACCTGTGTCCGGGTGGGCTAATTCTCGTTAAAAAAAGTTCGATCAATGGAGTAACACGACCGACAATTATATATATATATATATATATATATATATATATATATATATATATATATATATATATATATATATATATATATATATATATATATATATATATATATATATATATATATATATATATATATTGACCAACACAGCTTAGTACTCACAGGTCATGCTGGGTCGTGGCGGAGGTTGACTTCCGGGAGTGGTCGTGGGGGGCCGGTGAGTGGACACCAGACGTCCACCTGAAATGTTGAAAAAAGATTATTAATTGATATGGACACGCTGACCACCTGACGTGACCAGGTGTGGACAAAGCACTCGTCACTCTGGCACTTCGATCAACGTCCATCCGAATCCCCAACTCTCATCTTTGAACCACGCGTCACTAGCACCGACATCCCTTCAGATTCGAATCCCCGAACTATCTTTTGATTACGAGTTCGAATCTTAACGAAGATTCGAATCCCAACTCGCCCAAAACTAGCCTAACCCCCTTTCCCTCTCAACCCCCTCCTTCTCTTCCAACCTCTCCTGCCTTTCATCCCAACCCCGATACAGTCAACCAGTGTATCCCCCAGACGAGGCCTCAGTCCGTGTTCTTCCTTTATGGTATTTCTTGCATCCAAAGATCGAAAATTAGACAGAAACAAAGTGACAACAAAAGCGTGGTGGGCGGCCATTGTTGTGGTGGCTCCTGGGGGACGGTCTGCCTGCATTGTTTACGTCGCCATATTGGAACACTATTGGCTCTCTCTCTCTCTCTCTCTCTCTCTCTCTCTCTCTCTCTGTTTCTCTTTGGCTCTCTCTCTCATAACAATTATAATAATAACAATAAGAAAAGCAACAACAACAATAATAATAATAATAATAATAATAATAATAATAATAATATAGTAACAATAATATAAAAACAAACAAAACAAACGCAACTATAAACAAGTACTACAAACATTCTAAGGTAAAGACTCGTCTAGCTGGGCCAGTCAGGGAGGGAGGGGAGGTGGTGGGGGGGGAGGGGAGGTGGTGGGGGAGGGGAGGTGGTGGGGGGGAGACGGGAGGGTGGGGTGAGAGAGAGGAGGGGTGGGTAGGGGGTAAGAGAGAGGGAGGAGGGTGAGGGAGGGGTGGGAGAGAGAGGGGTCAGGGTGAGAAGAGGTGAGGAGGAGGCAGGGGCGCCGTCAGGGTCATCAATCAACACAGGACAAGTATCTGCCAAAAACCTCCGGACGCCTTCTCTCTCTCTCTCACACCTACTTTGTCTGACCATCTGTTGACACACACACACACACACACACACACACACACACACACACACACACCATTCAGTAAACATCAAGTGTACAGTATGTGTACCTATTTCAATACAATAACACGAGTCATTATTGTATAAGTAATGTATGATTCTATACACGGCAATACATCTTAATCTATAGTACAGTCACCAGCGGTCCCTTGAGTACGATGACTTAACCCCTTGAAGTCATATAGGTTAGGTTAGATTAGGTTTGGTTAGGTTAGGTTGGGTTAGGTTAGGTTGGGTTGGGTTGGGTTGATCCGCCATTACAGATCATCAACAATAAAGACGATTGATAAAAAAAAAAAACATTTCCCTGTCAGAGTCGTACTAGTAAAAAATATATCCTAACACACTCGTAAATAACATCCTCCGTCAGGTCAGGACAGGCGGTGATTGAGATATGTACATATATTAGAAAATAGTGAACCTGGTGGCACGCGTCCTCGGTCTGACCCAGCAGCGGTCTGAGGCGGCCCACTTTCCCTTGACTCCCACATTCGATACACAGATACATACACGTCGACATACACACATAAACATACACAGGGGTATACATACACGTGCAGAGAGAGAGAGAGAGAGAGAGAAAGACAGAGTTCTGTTTGTGTTTCTCTCTCTCAAGCGTTCACAGTCCCGGCAGGTGTTTTTTCATTATGTACAGCTTAATGATTGCCGAATCAGTGACCTTAGCGTGAGTAATAAGGAGCTGGTAGTATACTGTGGTTGGTCCTCGAGGCTGACCACAGAGGGGCTGGTAGTATAGCTGGTCCTCAAGACTCCCCAAACAGATTGAAGTTCTTAATAATGCACTGACCGACCCTTTTGTAACTGAAATGTCAGCTGGTGGGGGGTTAGAGGTGGGGTAAGGAGGAAGTGGAGGGAGTAGAGGTGGAGGGGGTAGGAAAGGAGGTGGAGGTAAGGAGGGAGGTGGAGGGGAGAAAGGAGGGAGGGTAAGGAGGGAGGTGGAGGTAGGAGGAGGTGGAGGAAGGAAGTGGAGGGTGGGGAGGGAGGTGGAGAGGGAGTAAGGAGGGAGGAGTGAGGTAGGGAAGAATTTGGAGGTAAGGAGGGAGGTGGAGAGGGAGTAGGGAGGGAGGTGCTGGAGGTGAGGAGGGTGGAGGTGGGGAGGAGGTGGGGGTGAGGAGGAGGGAGGTGGAGGGTGGGAGGTGGGTGAAAAATTCCTTCCCTACACCCAACCTACACACCTAACACCAACCTACACCTACCCTGCCCCACCTACACCCACTAACACCTACCCCTACACACACACCCAACCTACCCACCCCTAACACCAACCTACACCTACACCCCACCAACACCCCACCTACACCCCTGCTTACCCACCTACCCAACCTGCCCACACCAACCTACACCCACCTAACACCCACCAACGTTATAATTCTGCTTTGGTATTTGATTTTAATTAATGTTTGTGAGTTTATGATGAAGAGCCTTGGTAGTGGGTGTTAATAGATGGTGGTAGTGGTGGTAGTTGTTGTTGTTGATAGATGGTGGTTATGATGGTGGTGGGTGTTTATAGATGTTAGTAGTGGTGGTTGTTGTTGATAGATGGTGGTTATGATGGAGGTGGGTGTTTATAGATGGTGGTAGTGGTGGTAGTTGTTGTTGTTGATAGATGGTGGTTATGATGGTGGTGGGTGTTAATAGATGTTAGTAGTGGTGGTTGTTGTTGATAGATGGTGGTTATGATGGTGGTGGGTGTTTATAGATGGTGGTAGTGGTGGTAGTTGTTGTTGTTGATAGATGGTGGTTATGATGGAGGTGGGTGTTTATAGATGGTGGTAGTGGTGGTAGTTGTTGTTGTTGATAGATGGTGATGGTAATGGTTGATAGTACACAAGGAGGCAGGGAGGCCGACACTGCACTCGAGCACCTTCCTTTCCCCAAATTGCATAGTCAGGTGCCCATTTACACCTGGAAAAAGACTGGAAATACCCCGGGGCTGAGTGAAGGTCTTGGGGGCTGAGTGAAGGCTTTGGTGGCTGAGTGGAGGTCTTGGGGGCTGAGTGGAGGTCTTGGGGGCTGAGTGGAGGTCTTGGGGGCTGAGTGGAGGTCTTGGGGGCTGAGTGGAGGTCTTGGGGGCTGAGTGGAGGTCTTGGGGGCTGAGTGGAGGTCTTGGGGGCTGAGTGGAGGTCTTGGGGGCTGAGTGGAGGTCTTGGGGGGCTGAGTGGAGGTTTTGGGTTTGGTGGCTGAGTGAAGGTCTTGGGGAGCTGAGTGGAGATGCTTGAGGCTGAGTGAGTCTTGGGGGCTGAGTGGAGGTCTTGGGGGCTGAGTGGAGGTCTTGGGGCTGAGTGGAGATCTTGAGGCTGAATGAATGTCTTGGGGACTGAGTGAAGGTCTTGGGGGCTGAATGAATATTTTTTATGTGAGTGAAGATTCTTGGGGCTGAGTGAAGGTCTTGGGGGCTGAATAAAATTTTTTGGGGCTGAGTGAAGATTTTGGAAGCTGAGTGAAGTATTAAGCTCAAGACGTGATAATGTCAACAGATGTACCGCCACAAGGTAAAACATGAACACGGCCCCTTGATGCATTGATTATAAGGGTAGTCTCCGGCTGATCTCTCCTGACCTTTCTTCTCGTCTGACCTTTTCTTCAGGTCAAACAGAAGTAGAAAATAACAGTAAAAAAGATATTGAACAGTTAGCAAGGAAAAGAGAGAGCTAATGAGTGTGTGTTGTGTTGTGTTGTGTTGTGTCGTGTGTGTGTGTGTGTGTTATGTGTGTGTGTGTGTTATGTGTGTGTGTGTGTGTGTGTGTGTGTGTGTGTGTGTGTGTGTGTGTGTGTGTGTGTGTGTGTGTGTGTGTGTGTGTGTGTGTGTGTGTGTGTGTGTTATGTGTGTGTGTGTGTTGTGTGTGTGTGTGTGTGTGTGTGTGTGTGTGTGTGTGTGTGTGTGTGTGTTGTGTGTGTGTGTGTGTGTGTGTGTGTGTGTGTGTGTGTGTGTGTGTGTGTGTGTGTGTGTGTGTGTGCATGTGTGTGTGTGTGTGTGTGTGTGTGTGTTATGTGTGTGTGTGTGTGTGTGTGTGTGTGTGTGTGTGTGTGTGTGTGTTATGTGTGTGTGTGTGTGTGTGTGTGTGTGTGTGTGTGCGTGTGTTGTTTTTGTTGACGTGTACAGGTAACCCACCCGCATCAACGTGTGTTTTGATGTGTCTTTGTTCTTAACATAAATCACGACCATACGCGTCTCCGTGACCTTTACTTGACCTTATGAAAGGTCACCAAGCCTCACCGTCTTTTTCTCTCTTATATATAAGGTTATTCCCTCATTGAGTCTCAAAGGTTCGGAAGATAAATATTTTTAAGTGTTTTTTTTAAGTATTTACCTAATTTACTTTTGTGACACAATTGTGGATTATCAAAAGTTCGTAATTATTATTATTTATCTGAACTGGAGATGAGTGAGAATGTATTCGCTGACTCACTTAAGTTACAAAACAAAGATAGATTCTGAAAGGCGTAAAGGTAATTTTATTTTTCCCGTAACTATAATAATTCCTGTTGAGTTAGAGTCTCGGAGAACTTTCGACAGTATTCTTGGTAAACGGTTCATCTTTACTAAGAAAGACGAGGAAATTAATCAAGGCAGAGAAATCTTATAATTTAACAAAGACACTTTAGTGGGTGTGATGGAGTTTTATCGAGCATCACACAAGCATAAAAATGTAAATATACGACTTGGCTCAACAATATCTCCTATCGGCAGGTTTTAATTTGCGAGAAAATTTCCAAAAACATTGAACTCTTGTTGAGAAAATATAGCGAAGATAACATGAATTAAATTAAAAGAAATCGAAGATAAAGAGGCCGCGGAGGTGGATGTGAACGAACAACCAAAACCTCAACAAGCTAGCCAACCCGCCCGCCTTGCCAGATGACGTCACTGTCTATTCCTCCTCATCGGGTCACGATTTCCTCCATATTGTCCTCTTTCCTAAGCTTTTTACCAACTCTAACGCCGCTTGCCAACATCGGGGTGACTCTCGGTGATGGATTAAACATTATCAAGAGGAAAACATCGTCTTGGGGCATCAGTCGAGGCGTGATGAGCCGATCTGGAAAGGTGATGAATTTCCCGCCATCTATCAGGTGATGATGACGTGGTGTTGGCTTCCCCGTTGTCATGGTGACGGTCTTGCGGGGGAGCGATGTACGATAATTATGTTAATGTGATGGTGTAGACTGATGGCCAATTTATAACACCTGAGAGAGAGAGAGAGAGAGAATATTGCTCACTGCTTTTTTCGGTTTCTTTCTCTTTATCTCCTTCTTCCTCTCCGTTATCAAGCGCGTCTTACCTCTCCCCTCTAATACCATCTTTATGACCATTCTTCCCCTAACACTTTCTATTTTTCCCCATCCCCCCCACCTGTTCTCTCCCCTCTCTCTCTCTCTCTCTCTCCATTTCTCCTCTCGCCTACGCCCATTTCCCCTCATCTCTCATGCCTCCCTTTACCTTTCCCCTCGCCTCCTCACCAGGTAGACCACTTAACCTGCGCCACAGTACTTGAGATGAGTGACGCCCGTCTGGCTAAATTCACTTCCCCTCTTGGCGCGAAAGACCCGCCCAAGAATGCCAATTATAGCCAAAATATCCCCCAACAAGCATCACATTGTACGTTTGTTTGACGCCAAAAATTCACAAAGGAAAGTGTATCTAAGTGAACAAGTTGATCTGATACATAACGTGTGTGTGTGTGTGTGTGTGTGTGTGTGCGTGTGTGTGCGTGTAGAATCTTGGCTGTGTGGACGTCAACATATTCCACCAAAATAGACACTTCTCTCTCACCTCTCACACTCACATTCTCTCACCTCTCACACTCACATTCTCTCACCTCTCACACTTATTTTCCTATCAAATTCTCATCTCTCACCTCTTTCACACACACACACACACACTTCCATTTTCTTCCCTTCATTCCCCTCTTCTTTCCTCCTCTTCTCCGCTTTTCCCCTCTTACCTCTACCGTATCCCCAACCTCTCTCTCTCTCTCTCTCTCTCTCTTTTTCTGCCTTCTTCATCCTACCTTTCCCATTCCCTCTCCTTCTTCGTCTTCTCATCTATCTCCTTTCTCCCCTAATCCCTTTCCTCATCACTCCCTCTCCTCCTATCCCATTTATCCTACCTACTGAACCTCCCCTTCCTTTCATCCCTTTTCCCTTATCATCCTTTTCTAACCCCTAACCTCTTTTCCCCTTCTTCCGTGCCTCTCCTCTCTCCCCCATCCCTCTCTCTTAACCCTATCCACATTTCCTTCCTGTCACCCCATCCCCTTTCCCCCTTTTCTTTCTTTTCCTCTCTTCCCCTCCCCCTCCTTCCTTCCTTCTCTCCCCTCCCCTAACTCCTTTTCCCCCTATCCCTCTCCCCTTCCTTGCCTCTCCGTACCCCTCTCCCCTCCCTCTCATCCATCAAGCAGCTACGATAGTTCATGAACCCTCGACGACATCCTTCAAGAACATAAACAAAGGCGGCCATTATACCGCCCCAAAACGTCGACTTGGTGACACACTTGACAGAAAATGGCGGCGGATAGTTTAGTCTTGGCTAATAACTTGAAGACTCTTATGTCGTTTAGATTGTGTTTATTTGTTCACTCATCATCTCACCGACCTCTCCACCCTTCTTCCTCATGATGTTGACAGGAAACACAACCTATACATATAACCTCTTTAACAACCTCGTTTACTGAGACGGATAGTTAAGTCAGGTCATTCATTCATTTCCCACCACTAACCGTCGACTAGAAGAGTAGAATTCATGGGGTTTTTTCTCCTTTTTTAAATTTTTGGGTTAAATTTTCTTGCGCGTCACGATTCATCATATTCACTTTTACTCATTTTTCAACAGACTAATTAATTCATTTTACTCTCACTCACTCACTCACTCTTACTTCCTCTCTCACTTGTAACGACGCTAAACAATGTCATTTAAGAAGATGAATTGCCCCGTCTAAACCGTCGACTTGGTTACCTCTTATAAACTAAAAAAAACTAATTCTCATTTATTTACTCTCAACAACATACCTCTCTCACTCTCCCTCTCACCTCCCTCTCTCACTCACCCCCTCCCTCTCTTTTACTTATTCTCCCTCCCCTTCCTTCACTCCTCCTCTCTCTCTCACCTGTCCATCTCACCTGTCTGTGTCTCCGTGTTCAGCTCCAACAAGGTCGTGAGGAAGATGAATCACTTCGCCATTATTTACTCAGTGACTCAGTGAAGCGTCGACTTGTTTCCCGCCAAAACAGTCGATGAGTCGCCAGTTTTCCCGCCAAAACAGTCGATGAGTCGTCATATGCACCGCCATAACAGCCGATCGCCGTTAATATTTTCACCATAATAGCCGATCAACAACCAATATCCCGCCAGATCAGCCGATATAAACAATCAATTTCCCGCCCAAACAGCCGATAAACAATCAATTTTCCCGCCCAACCAGCCGATAATCAACCAATTTTCCCGCCAAAACAGCCGATAAACAATCAATTATCTCATCCAAATCCTCTAACACGTTTGAATGAATAAAATCCAATTGAGTTAGAGAGACGCAGAGAGATATAAACAAATGCAAGGAGACACATGGAGATACTGAGATAAAGAGATACTGAGAAAGAGATACTGAGACAGATACTGAGATATATAGAACAACACACCGAATGCAGCTTATGCCAGTCTCTCCTTCACCCACCTTGGCGCTCATTAGTCGTGGTTGGCGTATTGTCTGTGGCGTTAATTTGGCGGGAAGTAACTCAAAACACTAGTTGGCGTTGTCGCGAATAATGAGAGAGAGAGAGAGAGCGAGAGAGAGAGAGAGAGAGAGAGAGAGAGAGAGAGAGAGAGAGAGAGATTTAGCTGTATGTATTTCCTCCTGTTTCCTTCTCTCTACCTGCTTCTCTCTATCCCTCCCCCTTTCTCTTCCCCCATCCATACTGATCTTCCTCCCTCCCTCATTATCTTCCTCCTTTCCTCTCTCCCTCCCTCATTATCTTCCTCCTCCTCCTCCTTCCTCCTTTCTCTCCCTCCCTCATTATCTTCCTCCTTTCCTCTCTCCCTCCCTCATTATCTTCCTCCTTTCCTCTCTCCCTCCTCTTTCGCTCCTTCCTTCCCCTTGCTAGTTGACAGATAACAAATTAACAAACACCTAAATAAACAAGTCAAAGCAAGAGACACGATGATCTAGGAATAAACAAGGTGAAAACAAACAAACAAACAAGTACAAAGAAAGAATAATAATGACATTCTACATAACTGATAAACGAGGGGATTAAAAGATAAGAGAAGAGACAACAACGTATTAATAATGAAGAAATTAATAACTGATAACGAAGAAAATGAAGAAATTTAAATAAGACGAGAATAAAACCATAACAGACGAATAATAATGAATAAACATGAAATAAAATGAATATATAAATGATGATAATATATACAAGTACATAATCCAATAAATAATGAACCATAGCGTAAAAGAGAAAGAAAAGAAAGAAGAATTAACGAAGAAGCATAGAATTTATCGTCCAGGTAGAGACAAGGGAGAGC